TTCTTTGGTAGAAATACTATGGTGGAACAAACACACAATCAATCAGATTTTCAAATATAAAACATATATAGTAGAACCTCCATGAGAGGACACTCGCGCTAGAGGACATCTCTCTATAAAGGACAGTTTTCATTTGCAAAATTACCATTTTTACTATTTAGTAACTCTCTGAATAGAAACCACCTCTCTATAAAGTACAGTTTACATTCTCAAAATTGCCATTTTTAATATTTATAAATTCTATGGTTAGAGGACCCCTCTCTATAAAGTGGAAAGTTTTTTTTTTTTTTTTTTTGAAAAATTACGATTTTTTAATATTTAGAAACTCTCCAATTTGAGGACACTTCTCCCTAAAGGACACGTTGGCTCTGCAATTAAGTGTCCTTTACAGGGAGGTTTTACTGTGATAAAATATGGGAAAAGCCTAAATGTTCATAGGTGTAGTTTTGGTAATAATACACCTATAATTTCTATGAAAAATAGACACTTCGGCCAGTTAGAGATTTTTATTTTTCTCAACGTTTCGACAAAAATATTTAGTCTTCGTCAGGAGAAGTAAATAAAAATAAAGCATTTGGCAAGACGTTGAAAAGAACAATTATCAGAACAATTTTTAACGCCTTGCCAAATGCTTTATTTTTATTTACTTCTCCTGACGAAGACAAAATATTTTTGTCGAAACGTTGAGAAAAATAAAAAACTCTAACTGGCCGAAGTGTCTATTTTTTATATAAATATGAATGCCGGCCAGGCAACTTCTATCTTCAGGATAATACACCTACTAGTAAAAGTATGTACTCGTATAAGTTGAAAGTCATCAAACTTGTATTGCAATTATATAAATATTATTTCTGTTTAAAACTGTCTACATGAGGGAGAGATGGTTTAAACCGTTGGTTTTCGACCGCTAAGACTCAAGATCGAATCGCGCATTGGGAACTTTTTCTTATTTAAAAAAAAAGGCTCTAATAAGCCTCCGATACTTTCAAAATTCAAATCTTACCAGCGAATGCCAGTAATCAAACGGAGCTCTGGCATAATTCTAAGTGCAAAAAAAAAGTTCAACTACGCTTTTCACATATTTAGACATGTGGTGCACTAACTACCTACCCAACTATGATTATAATGGCCTATATTACGTGTATTAAAAAACTGCCTACCTCCATACCAAATTGAAAACATTAGTTTTCGTCTTATCACTGAGGTTAAGTAATGCCAGGCCCGGTCAGTACTTGGGAGAGTGACCACTTGGTGAGGGGTGCTGTAAGCTAATTCCTATTTTACCGGGAAGTTGACGTTTTGTGATAAATATTAAAGAGAGGGCCTGGCTCATCAGTGGTGAACCCTCCCAGCGGTTTCGCCAGTTTAATCTACCATACCGCTGTTATATTGCATTTTGGAATATAACAGCGGTAGGGAAGATTAAAGTGGCGAAACCGCTGGGAAGGTTCACCACTGATGAGCCAGGCCCTCTCTTTAATTTTTCCATTGCAGTAAGGACAGTAGAAATTGTTTAATTTTTAAAAGGAATCATACGCGTCTATAATAGTTTCGAATATAAAACGTATTGTCTCTGCGTGCACCAACCTGCCTTTCAATATTACAAGCTGTTAACACATTACTTTTAATACATAACTTCCATTTTAGAAATGAGGAAATAGTACACACTGTCGATTTTTGATAACCTCAGATCGAGTCCCGCATTTATCACTTTTTTTTTTTTTTGGCCACAGGTTCTTTCAAAATGTTAACCCCATAAGTGCAAGTAATCAGATGGGATTCTGCTACCTTGTATATGCAAAGTTGCTTTCTATACATATGGTGAAATAACAATGAGAGGCAGACTTGTTTACAAAACAATGATTTTCATGGCTTTTTATCATATGTACTTTATATAAAAAATATATTGAAAAATTGATAACTCATCTGTTTATAATACTTTTTTGGCATTAAAACGTTTAAAAAAAATGCTTAGCACTAAAATGGGTAATTTTTCAATAAACATAAAATGTGTCAGCTATAATCCCCTCGACCATTTGCGAGCAATAAACAAACTAAAATTGAAGTTTGTGAAAGTTTCATTCTAAATAACAATAAATTATTAGTGAAAAAAAATAGAGTTCTTAGTTTCAAAATCTAAAAAAAAAATTAGCCATTGATTGTTATATTACCTAGAGAAAAACAAAATACAGTTTTTAGAATAGCAAAGACTTATTTGAAAAATATTCAAGTAGTGATGTATGCATGGATTTCTAAGAAGAGTTACTACAGCATATATAAATATATATTAATTAAAAGGCATATTTTGGATCTAAAATAAAACAAAACATTTTATTTAATTCAAAATGTCGAATAGTTGAAGTTTGTGAAAGCTTCATTCTAAATAACAAGAAATCATTAGTAAAAAAAAAAAATAGAGTTCTTAGTTTCAAAATCTAAAAAAAAAAAATTAGCCATTGATTGTTTTACTACCTAACGAAAAACAAAATACAGTTTTATATATATGCCATCTAAAAAACACATTTGCTCGTGGTCAGGATATGCTTCCTTTATTTTTAATAAATATATACAGTTAAATCTGTCTATAGTGCCCCCTCTAAATAGCGCCTTCCTCTCTATAGCGCCCGATTTTAAACATTAAAATGTAAACATTTTACATTAGAAGTGACCTGTCTATAGCACCCCCTCTCTATAACACCCTATTTTGGTGAGTCCCAAGAGGGGGCGCTATAGACAGGTTTAACTGTATATATATATAATGACTATAATTGGTGTCCCCACACATTATATATAGGATCCACAATTAAAAAGAGATTTGTTATGGAACCGTAGCATCCAGGACAGGGGTCGGCAACCTGCGGCTTTTGAGTCACATGCGGCTCTTTCGATGTGAAGCTGTGTGTAGTACTAGCATAAATAAAGTTTTTATTTATGCGAGTACTACATATTGTTAGCAATAAAAAAAAATTGTGGCTCTTTAAAAACTTTGAAATTTTGTTAATTTTAATTTTTGACTCTTCTGACTCAAGAGGCTGACGACCTCTGACCCAGGATATTAAAAAAAAGCACATCAAAACACCTTTAAGGAAAATTTCTTCCAACAAATTCTGGTATGATTCAGAGCTCATTGTTGAAAATTAACAAATCATAGAGGGCGATATTGATGATATTTTAAAGCCTTATTTGTTGGATTATTTGAATATTGAAGACGTAATGTTAGTGAATAGTCAAATTTTGTTAAAATTCATGGAAAAACAATCTTTGTCTCAGTAATCGTCCGAAAAAAAAAAAAAGAAAAACTCAGTAAATAGTCTTCAAAAATGAAAATTTCTCGGGATTTTTTACAGAGAATGTTTACAATTCTTTATAGAATTCGGTATTTACCTGTTTGGAATACCAAAGGGATAGTTAAATAGCAAATTATTGTAGGATAACAATGGGATACAAAAGGTGTGTAAAAATATTTGCAAGGATTTTTCTTAAAAGGTATTTAAGGACTTATATGCATCTACTTGGAAATATAATGTTACCATGAGTTAAGCAAAAGAGGAATTGAATTAAATACATACAAAGTAAATTTTTATGCGTATTCGTTTTTTAGACTTGTCCTTACTTATTGATTTACCTGTGTGAATAAATCAGGTTCCCAAACACATAGATACACCATTAGGAATAACATCGAATTGGTGAAAATAAAAAAAGAGTCATACTTGAAGTAAAGAAGATGAAGCCAAATTTATATGGCATATTAATTATTATACAACTCAAAAGGTGTGATGTGTGAATACTTAGTTATCCTCTAGCTCCGTCTCCACGAATTGTCGTCGTTCCTCTTTGGGTCATCTCTCCTCCATCCACCCGTCCTGGGTGCATCTTGGTCGTTTCTCCTCGTCCTGGGTGCATCCCAGTCATTTCTCCTCCTGTCACCTGTTCTGGGTGCATCCCAGTCATTTATCCTTCTGTCACCTGTTCTGGGTGCATCCCAGTCATTTCTCCTTCTGTCACCTGTTCTGGGCGCATCCCAGTCATTTCTCCTCGTCCTAGGTGCATCGCCGTCATCTCTCCTCGTCCTAGGTGCATCGCCGTCATTTCTCCTCCAGCTACCTGCCCTATATGAATCTTGGTCATCTCTCCTCCAGCTACCTGTGCTAGATGAATCTTGGTCATTTCTCCTCGTCCTAGGTGCATCTTCGTCATTTCTCCTCGTCCTAGGTGCATCTCCGTTATCTCTCCTCCAGCCACCTGCCCTATATGAATCTTGGTCATCTCTCCTCGTCCTAGGTGCATCTTCGTCATTTCTCCTCGTCCTAGGTGCATCTCCGTTATCTCTCCTCCAGCCACCTGCCCTATATGAATCTTGGTCATCTCTCCTCGTCCTAGGTGCATCTCCGTCATTTCTTCTCCAGCTACCTGTGCTAGGTGCATCGCCGTCATCTCTCCTTGTCCTAGGTGCATCGCCGTCATTTCTTCTCCAGATACCTGTCCTAGGTGCATCTTCGTCATCTCTCCTCCAGCTACCTGTGCTAGATGAATCTTGGTCGCTTCTCCTCGTCCTAGGTGCGTCCTTGTCATCTCTCTTCCAAGAATTTTGACCTGTGCCCTTCCAGCTGTCTGATTCAGATCCCTTGTCACTTCGGTTGTCGCTCCTAGAAATCTGGCCACTACTCCTCCAAGCACCTGACTCGGAGCTTTTATCACTTCTTTCATCATCGTCTCTCCTGGCGCCACTCCTCTCTCCTGGTGCTTCTTCCTTCAAGTCGTATTTTTCAGGCTTCTGATCCACTTCGCTCCAGTCTTCTTCCTTTCCCCATCCTTCTTCCTGAATTGGATCACGCCTCCATACGTTGCGTTTTTCTTCTTGCTCTAACTTCTTCGCTTCTTCTTCTTCCTGCTTCTTTTTATCAGCTTCCTCTTTTGCCAATCGTTCTGCTTCTGCCTTTTCTTGGCGTTTCCTTTCAATATACTCGCGCTTCCTTAGAGATTTTCTTTCTTCAGCGCGTTGCAACAAACGTTTTTGGTATTCCTTCTCAATGACTTCGTCGTTAATAGAATTTTTATCATCTTGCAATATTTCTTCGTTAATTGACAAACTTGCAAATCTTTGTTTGATGCTAACGATCCTTTCATGCTCTTCCTTCTGACTTAAGATTAATTCTTCATGATATTTAATCCACTTATTATTAATAGTTTCTACATAATTTGAATACTCATTTTTAATCAAAGGAATTTCCTCCAAATGTTTAGCACGCACGAGATGGTCTAAAATTGTCGCATCTTTTTTCTGAGCTTCTTCTTTTTCTTTAGCAGCTTTTTCCAATTTTTCTCTTTTGATTGCAAGCTTCTTTTCATTTTCAATTTGTATATTTCTTGCATCTTCTTCCTTTTTAATATTTTCCTTCTCTTTAATTTCGGCTTCAGTTGGAATCTTTGGTATCTCCTTTTCGACCTCCTTTTCTTCTGGTTTTGCATGGACATCCTTTTCTTCTCTCCGCTTTTCATAAATTTTCTTTTTCAGATTTAAATAATGTTTTCTACGTGCCATGAAGTTATCACATTCTAGCTTTGTCAAAGGTTCTTGAGAACTTATTTCATCTTCAACTAATATTTTATTCTGACAGAAAGTCGTGAATCCCTCCGTTATATCGTTGGATTTCAGAGCATATGGGAAAGTGAGATATCCTTTCTTCCTGTCCACGAAAGCAAATTCTTCCAATTCTACATTTTGATATAGAGCATCAAAATTTTCGTAATAGGGAAACAAACTTAAAAGATTCTCGCACGAAAATGATTTGTAATGCTCGCGAATATTATTAATAACTCTTTTCATAACAGTTTCCTTTATTGATTCTTCGTACAGCCTATATTTTTCTTCACAATCTTCCCCGAAAAACTCTTTGCAAGCCCATCCATGGCGCAAATATTCGTAACTTTCAATGTTTTCGAGCTTCAGGAAAAATTCCCGAACATCTGGCCTAGCATAACGCAGCATATCTAAATTTTGTACGTGTTCAATGAGCGAAGTTCTGGTCGGGACCCGTTTGAGCAAAGCAATTTTATTTATATGTTTTTGCACCCATTCTGTAGCTTCGTTATCTGTTTCGGTATCGAAAATGACATCAAGGACATTATCAGTTGACGTTGCTAAAATTCCTAAAAGGCATTCCGAAGTCAATTTTTCCAACTCATCCATATTAGGGTTTTTTTTATAATGTAAAATTATGGATAGGATTTTGATTTGAACAGCAGCCAAGTAACTGAATTTC